ATTACTTAAGAGATTCTGACACTGTGTCCAAAGCAACTCCATCTTCAAGGGGGAAAAAAGAAAATCATGCCAAATCTGATAGTCTTCTGATGTGTTCCATTAGTTGTGGATTTCTACAAGGATTTTTCAAACAAAAAATTAATTATTATAAACAGCAATGGCTTTACTCAAGATGCCACAAATAAGGTAACAGAAGCATGTCAAAGTGGTACAGTTTGATATGAAATCTAACTATTCTACAGCAGCGGAAAGGGTTGAAGATAACCTTGTTCATCAGAGGTATATTAGAAATTATTTGTAACAGCAGCTCCACTATTTGACCCATGCTTTTCAGAGAAGTTTAGAAAAGTATTTTCACACAGTATGTGCCCAATTTTTTTTTTAAATTAACCTCTGCACTTTATTTAAGTTCTGTAAAAGTTTGTAACTAGAGACTACAGACCAGCTGCCCATCCAAAGTAAGCAGCAAAGTTAGCTGGAGGAGAAGAAATGAAAACCAGATTAAGCTGCTAGAATTTTTTTTTTTCATTTGAATTAATTTGAGGGCCTATATGGTTTGATTCAATACAAAAACAGTGCACAGTGTGTGGAGAGAACACAAAGAATACACACAGTAATTATTTACCTGAGAAATTTGTATAAAGAGTTGTGGAAAAAAGGAGAAGGAATAAAGGTGTTAAGTGGATTCTGTTACAATTAAAATAAAAGTACATGAAGTTTTACTTAAATTCCTCTAATTTTGCTTTTTATTTGAGAATGGTGTGAGAATCTTGATTTTAATCTGGACTAGCCTAAAGGAGCTGCATTATTTCAACATGCTTTTACTTTCAGGCTCTGTAATATGGTAGTCTATTACAAGAGAAGAATCACAGCCTAGAAACAGCAAATGTTCCCTTGATGAACCAAAGTTTTTATTGACACCATGGAACACTTTCCCCAAGCAGGCAATTCAGCTTTTCAAAATAATTCCTGTAACGATGGACGGTAGCATTTACATGCACAAAATGAATAATTCCACACTTAGGATGAATTTAGAGCTGCTGTAGTGGGTTTAACTTCTTTGCATTCAAATTATTTTCACATGCCTGTGTCATGGCAGAGTGTGATTGCCTCAGCTTTTCAAAGTTAGATTGCTTACGATACTGAAGCAAATATTTTGGAAACATGATCCCTAATCATAGAATTCCTTTTCCACCAAGGATGTGGCTTTGCTCAATTATTTATTTACCTGTCCTCAAACATATTTACACTTTCCAAAACCTTTCTTTGCTCAGTTTGTGCCCAAACTGCATGCCCTTGTTACCAGCTTCTGCAGAAAGTCTGAGGGACGTGGCAGCTGCAGTTCTGTGCAGCTCCAAAAGATGAAAAAACATGAAGGAAACAAGCATGAGATTTGATTTTTTTATCTCCTTTTATTTTGTGAGTGTTCACTGCATTAGAATATCCTCACCAGTAACCCTCCTGCAGCTATCAAATGTCTCAGCTTTGTTTTAGTGCTTAACCAGCTGTAAAAGATGTTTTATTGCCTTATGTATCCTTCCACCATTCAAGTAAATCACTTCAGTGTTGTATTATAGATGACTGTAAAAAGGAGATTTTTTTTTCCAATTACAGTGACTAGTGGCCAGGTATGCACACAAACCAGCATATTTGGAGCAAGCAGCAACCTGTCCTGCAGTTATTTAGTTATTTGAGAGAGGGGAGCATGCACTCATTAGCCCATGAGCAATGCAGCAATCCGCGTGCCCTGCTGCTGAGGACCAGCTGGCTGCTGGGTGCTATCAGAGCTGCTTGCCAGCAGGCATGGCTCATTGAGAGCCTTGTTGCAGGATATAACATCTTTGCAGTCAATTAACAATGCTGCTCTTTAAAAAGGTCCAGATCCTTCCTGATGCAGCAAAGCACTTCGATATATGTTCAAAGTTGAATGCTTGATTAAAGTTTTGTGTAATGAAGATGTGAGGTCTTGTGCTTGAGGTTAAACAGGTAGGCACATTTCCAAATCAGGGCCTGACATGTTATGGTTCTTAGAGGTTTCCAGGAATCTTGAATATCCTGAAATACTGACTATGATGATTTCCAAGTTGAGTAAAACCTACAACTGAAAAACAAAATCACAACATGTGACTGTGAGGCAAGCAGGAAAACCTTTTAACATCTATATCTGGTCATCATTGATACTTGTCTTGCCAAGGAAATGCTAGCAGACTGTTTACATTTTTGAAACCCTCAAATAAATTAAAGAAATGACACAACCTTGTCGTCTGGAAATGGTGAAAAAAATATATTTGGTAAAATGAATTTATTCTTTGAAGAAAGAAGCAATGAGAGTAAGTGAATTGTTATGCACTTCCTGACTGTAATATTTCTCACTGGACAGGGTTGTATTTTGTAGTCTGCTTCCTGTGGCCAAGTAAAGGAATGAGTATTAGGAAGACCAAAATTCAAGCTTTTGCCTTAGCATTTTATGTAACTTTCCCATGCTTATTTTCTATTGTATGACATCTGCTCAGTTATTGTAATGTCCTACTGATAACTCACTGCCGTAATAGGCAAATGTCTTTGCTCTAGTTCAGTGGGTCAACAGCAGAATCAAAGATAATCTCTCATTGATTGTGAGTTATTTATTAACATAACCACTCTGCTGCTTCTGGATCAGATCTAAACAGCTTACTATGAGACCTGGACTTGGGATTTTCTATAATAGTGTGTTGGATTGTCAAAGCTCACTGCTTCATCTTCTGCAATATCTCATCTTCTTGTATCTCCACTAAAAAAGTGCAAAATTCCAGCTGACTGCAATGAGTGTAGATTGAAACCTCAAATACTTTTTAAAGAACTTGTGATTTCTGGTGAAGCATCCTATGGATGTGGACTGTTCCATACTTCCTCTTATTTACTTTGTCCTGTTTGAGAACAAGTTGAAATAAACTTTCTGGTGTGTGTGTGACACCTTACTTGTATGTTTCCAACTTTTGTTCTCAGTCTGATTTGGGTTGGAGCATTATTTTGCTTTTAATTTAATATTTGGACCCGAAACTTTAAATGAGAGAGCCAAAACAAACACATCTCCTGTACAGAGACTGTCTAGAAGTAGCTGGAATTGGATCACAGCCTGTAAGGCAGGCACAGCACCCTTGAGATATGTCATCCATGCCCATGGAGCTGGTTCTAGCTGCCCTGGACACCTCTGGGGATGGGGATAATGGCTTCTGGCAGTCCAAAAGGTAAGGCAGCAAGTCAGATCCTAGAGGGTCTGCCTTTGGTTTCCACTCTCAGATTCACTGGATCTGTTCAAGGGTAAGACTCAAGGATTTCACAGATTATCATGTTTCAGATAAGTGGGGGAAATTTTGGGTTTAGTTGGTGCAGTGCTTGATCACCTCAGAGATGCAGGCTCTGAAAACAGTGAAATTCAGAACTGAGGCAAAGCCTTCTACAAGACCAGCCCTCAAATTCCATATCCACCACAGCCCACCAGAAATCTGATGTTCAGTGGCAGCCCTGCCTTTCTTTTCCTTGCCCCAAACTTCCATGTTATTTCAGATGTAGCAGTTAGGGTTCAGTGATAGATGCTTCTTTAGGTGAAAGCATTTGCAGCAAAATGTCCAGCCCCTTCCAGGAATGGGGCTGAACCTGAGCTGGGAGGCTCCATCAGAAAATGGGCAACTTTGGAACAGTTCAGACTATGTGGGAACTTTGCCACTGATCAAATGTAAATAATTCTGCTCAGACTCTAACAGCTGAGTTGAAGCAGAGATTTTGAAAAGGAAGAACTTGGATCACAATTTTATGGCTATCTCTAAAATATTTTATTGCTGGTTTATGACACCAAAGTGTAAATTATGGGGCTTTAAAGAGTTGCATTGTGAAGGTTTTATCCTTTGCTTACGTACAGAACATAAATACTACTGTTTTGTTTTCAGGGAAATTAAATACATATTTTTTTAGTTGCTGTTGAGGAAGCCAAGAAGGTTATTAAGAAGAACACCTTACTTTTTTTTTTTTAATGTGTTGAGACTGGCTTTTTTTATGAGTTGATAATGAGTAATTATTTTCAGTCAACTGATGTATGTCAGATAATTGAAAAGAAGGAAGGGGAATAAGCATGTGTTGCATGCTTACAAATGCCATTACAATGGAAATGGTGTGTCTAATACCATGTGGATCAGTGAAGAAATGTCTTCTATTACATGACCTGTTGCAGAAAAATATCTGTTGGAAGCACAATTTCTCAGGTCTGAAACAAGCCTTTTATAGTTTGTGTGGAGATAAAATTGGTTTATACTGTGTGCATACACATATATATGTATCTACACAAATGCAGCTCTGTAGATGCAACCACAGCTACCATATTGTCTCATTTGCATTGAAACTCTATGGGCATGTTATCCATTTTTAGAAGAGAAATGTAACAAGTGAAAATGTTTCATTTCCTACTACATTTTTAAACCTAACTTAAAGCAATGTAATTCAAGAAATGTATTGTAGTTTGGAGACCAGAGTTTAGAGATCAATTTCTTTTGGATGTGACTTCATCAAGATTCATCAGTAGCTTACTCTGGCCTTTATCTCTTGGGGTTTATATCCAGTATTGCTTCAGATTTTGCTCCATCCTATGTCAAACTGACTCACTGTTATTTCCTTCCACTGTCTCATGCTGAATGACCACGGGTAGAAAAAATGTTTTCAGCTGCTTCTTTTAGTTAATGTTCTTGTTGCAGTAGACTCACTCAGCTAAATTTTTCAAAAGTTATGAAATAGTTCTCTCTGTGAACTCCATGTTATTCTCCTATGCCCAACCTTGCACTCATTTCCTTTCCAAGCTCTGGGAAAAATGCTGGTTTATATCCATTGGAATAAAACTGAGATGTGATTCTCCTGTTCTGGAAGGACTGGGAGGGGACATGAGTAGCCATAGTGGTGTGGATGACCTGTTTTTAACAGTTCTAAATTATTATTGTTCAAATCTCTTTTATGTGATGTCTCTATTCTCTTAGGAGATTCAGATGGATCACTTTACCAGCTGTCAAGGCCAATACTTCTGTACAGTCCCTGCTCTCAACAACAGCCTCAGTGTCCTTGTGGTGGGGTGTCTTGGAAGGACTGTGCACATCAAGCTTCACACTCCCTCTGCACTTGAGGCTCTCTCTGCTGTAAGTACACTGAATAATGTTGTGGCTACTTGGCATGCCCAAGCTGGTTACCTGGAAGTGCTTCAACTTAACTTCTGGAAAACTTCCTGTGATGTTGATGATTTTATGCTTTTTAGGTGAATGAAACTATGTACCTGCCTCAAATAAATATGAAAGGTGCTTTTATATTGATTTATTAGTCCCTGCAATCACCATAAGTTTCCAATTATTATAGGGCAAATGGATATTTTTCATCTAGTGCATTAACAACATGCTGTGAACAACACAAAGGCTATATTTTACAGGTGGCATCTGATAAAAGTAATTCTGTTGCTGCTGTTCCTAACAAGAAAGGGAGGATATGCTTTTAGTTGTTTTGAATATCTAATATGTCTAGTTGTAACTCTGAGTACGTAGATAGGGGTGGGAAAACATCTACACGATGTATAGAGGTGTTCATTTTCCAGCTGTGGGAAAGATGTGTCTGCAACCTAACTGTACTTCCTTCAGCTGAAATAAACACTTTTGGGAAGAATTTGCCTGACTGGTTATTTTTGGTCTGGCAAAGGGGAAACCAAATGAGTGACTGTTATTACCCTGATGCCAATTACTGGAACCGACCAGCTTAGGGGCAATTTGCTGACTTTGTTTAAAAACAAAACTGGTCTTTCTGGGTCCAACTGTGATTTAGGAAGGGAGGAGCTCTAAACCACTTCTTTCTTTTTTTTTTTTTTCTTCCTTTTAGAAAAATAAATTTAAATTATTTTTTTTAAAGTTTCCTTGCTGAAAACATTATCTGAACTCCACATGGTGTGGGATTTAGGGAATTAACAGGATGATTCAGACATACAATCCTCACATTCATTCCCACTCCTGAGAACTTTCCTTAAGGAATAAAATTTCTTTCCTGCACTTGGTCGGAAAGAAAACAAACTCAAACCCCTCTCTCCTTTTTTTTTCTCTCTTCTTTTTTTTTTTTTTTTTCTTTACTGGAAAGTAGCACAACTAATAAACTAAACATTAAGCTCCAGCACATGCTGTAGGCCAGTATAATCTCAGGATATGAGTGGTGTGATTTCAGCAGGCGTTTGCAGCACTCCTCCCTGTGAACTTTTGGCTGATACGTTCTCCCATCACTGCTTCCCTTTCCTCTCCCCTGCTCTATATGGAAACATGTGCCAGCAGGGCTGAAGGGTGGTTCAAAGTGTTGTCTTTTCATATTTTGTCCTTAGGGAGTGGGACAGAAAATGCTGAGAGTGCTGCCTTATGTAATGTTTTACATGTCTGTGAGAAGACAGACCAAGGGCAGTGCCTGAGCTCTCACCTTGGGTACGAGAAATCTGTGATCTTGCAGCCCCACTGCACACTTGATGTAACTCTTTTTCTGTATGTGTGTGAGGGGGGAAGGTCACATAAGCTGCAGTGAATCTCTTCAGCATGAATTCAGAGTACTCAGATTGTGCAGAATTCCCAAGGTGCACAGCAGAAGAATTTTATGATTGATTGGTTTCCCACTCTTTCCTCTTTTGTTGCTTCTTATCAAAACCAAACAAACTCAAACAAAACATATCCTTTCATTTAGGCAGGAAATAAAGGAAGCTTGTGGAAAAACTTAGTTCTTGCCCACGCTGCAGTTTAGTTTAAATGTCCACAGGCACCTGTATTTTCTTGCTTTCTCCTTCACAGGATTGCTTTCCTTGGTGCCCCTTGTGCAGATGTTTTAAAAATTCCTCCGCCATAACATTTAATATTTTTTAAATTTATAGTCAAACTTTTTTCCCACATTGATCATATTTCCTCACTACCCAGAAACTTCTTTGTCCATTCCCTTGGTCAGTCTTTTGCTCTTTGAATTAGGAAAATTCACTTAGATTGCTCTTGCATTTTCTGGTCCACAGTTGAATCAAATAGTACCAAACTTACATGGTGATTTCTTGATTTTCTTTTATAATATACTTATATTTTTGTTTCATTATTTATATTGATGGCATTCCCTGCCAAATTGAGGCCTTGTTGGTTAAACTGTCTGACCTCTATCTTTGTTCATAGAGTCTCCATGGACTTTTTCTAAAATGCAGCTGAGTTCAATTGATTGTTTCAAGCTTCTCTGCCCTTCTAGTCCTATTTCGTACTCGCTTTTCTTACTGTGTCTTCAGTTTGGAGGAACAAAGGAAATTTGCTAAATATCTTGCAGCCTGTTACCTCTCACTGTCACAATCATAGGCAACTAGATCAGCAGCTGCATTACTCATTGCATTCTAAAGACAAATCCTAGAGGAGGATCAGAGTGCCTGCCTACAATATATTGCCTTTCACCACATTCCTGATTCCCACTTTGCTCTGCCAGATGCCGCCAACACCCTTGTCTCTGAGGTGCTTCAGTAGTCGTGTGTCTCTCCTGCCTTTCCTCTAGCTGATGGTTCTCTGGTGTTTAAATCCACATCCACCTGTGTTTTTATTACACACAGAGGTGGAAACTCTGCCCAATCATTCTTTTTCATCCTTCAGTTTCCTTTTGTTTTGTCTTACATATATTCAAGGAGGAAACAGGAGGAGGAATGGAAAAGGAAGGGTTCGGTCTAGACTTCCAAAGCAATTTCCTTTTCCCTACAGAGCGCAGCTCATTTCCTTCCAGAGCAATGTGTCTGGGAAGTTGCACATTTCTTCTCAGCACTGACTTTCCTGAAATTTGTTGAGTCAAAGCACAGCTACTAGGCAGGATCCAGAGGGTCATAAACGGGAGTGTGTGAGTGTTTTTGTCGCTGCCAAACAGGAGAATAAACAGAGATTAATATAGAAAGGAGAGGACAGTCTAGATAAGCAGCCACAGTGTGGAAATGTTGAAAAAAAAATAGACAAATATCCACAGACACACCTGCACTAGGGCGTTCCTGCACCATGGGACCTCACAGGGCTTATTTTTGCCATAAATGTCTCAAGGACAGAGAACTGAGCAATGTGGAAGTTGATGATTTTCCTTGAGGGTTAATTACAAGCTCTTGCCTTTGGGGAAAAAAAAGAGTAATGGTTTATTGTTCTAAATTTAACTCTTTATATGCTACATTTAGCTCAAGACTGGAGAGTTCTTTTTCTTTTAAATGCATTTATATTTACTGGTTTTTAATAGTATGCCGTTTAGTACTGTGGCATCCACTCTTATAAGGTTTCTGTGTTTGCTTAAAATCAAACTAATAAATTGGTTTAAGTCAAATTAAAACCAGACTGAAAGTGTAGTGTAGTCATGACTGAGAAACTTGCCTCCTCCAGAGAGTTCAATATATTCTGTGCTTAATTTTTTTTCAAATGAATTCAATTCAGTTTGGAAAGGAAATGCTTGAGAGGGGAAAAAAAAAGTGATGAGATCATAATCTGTTGACTCCGTAGAGTTTCTAATTTGGTTAGTGCCTAAATGTGTTTGTTTGCTTAAAAGATGAGATTTCTTCTGTGTTGAGAGTGTGTAGAGACATGAGCAGGAAGATGAGCTGGAATCTGACTGTGTGTTTGATGTAAGATAATTATTTCATCCATTCCACTTATTTTTTGCTTAGCAAGACAATTCACATAGTGTTCATTGTCCTGCCACCAATAATTGCAGATGTGTCTGAATAGCTGATATTTATTTCTGAGTCTGAAAAAGCTCATAACTGATTTATTGTGTTAATTGTCAGAAAATGCACAATGAAACTTTAGAGAAGTACTTCCAAAGTCCCTGGTATTACATCTACACAGGAATATGAGTTGGTTGGGGTTTTTTAGTAGATGAATAGAAGAGGAAACTTTGCATTTTGTCTTAAAAGTGTAAGTTCAGCAAACTATAGGCAGAGGAGCTTTAAAAGATCTCCTGTTTCTCAGGCCCCTTGCTTTGAAATCCCATCTACAGAAAACCTTTCTGCTATTAGCCACAAGATTAAACACCACAGTGTTTGCTACTCTCCAGTTTAATGACATTTTTCCAGGCAAAGGAAAACACCTGGCTTAGGAGGAGGTTGTGTAGGGCTGGGCAGGCTCTGGTTACTGCATCCACTCAATCTTTTACTCAGTAGTGCCAACATACTGGGGCCTCGTAATCTGGAGCTGCTGTCTGGCTTGGGAGGTTTTGTAAGGGCAAGAAAAAGACAATGCAATTCAATGCAAAGACCTTGTGGAGCTCACACTGCAAATTATAGAACTTTTCTGTGAGACTAAAGGATGCTTCTTCCTGCTTCAGTTGGATTGTAGGAGGACAGACTTGTACAACTTTTCCATTTGTGGAGGAACCTCTGCAGTGAAAAGATGTGCAGCTGGTGGCTGAAGGTCCTTGAATTTGTTATAACTTACTGTAATTCATCCAGCTGTGTTGGGCTGGTTGGCTCAAGCTTTCAACAGCTGTAGCTGGTAGGGAAATTTCTGCTCAGTTAAAGGGAGTTCTGGCAGTCCCAGGTATTCAATATGAAATGGAGGTGGGGGGAAAAAAGATGGTTATGACATTCTGCTGATACCATCTGAAACTGAGGAATCACTGTGAGCTTTTTTATATTCCTGAAACATGTAGCTCTTTCTGGCTTGGATTTTTTTTTCTTTTGCTTTTGACATGTTTGCTCTCTTTTGTCAGTTCCAAGCCTGCATTTATTAGATCAGCTGAGGGTGAAAGGCAAAGGTGCTGCTGTCTTAGAGGTAGAATAGATTCACAACCAATACAAATTATTTTAAAAATGCTACTTTTGTAGATATGATTGGGGCATTATGCACTCTGACCAAGAGAAAAAACTGCAAGAGTATGTTACATTTTTGCCCTGCCAGAAAAAAGACAGGGCAGAATCTCAAACTTTTGAGTATTTTTTCATCTATTTTTTCCAAATATGCACTCTAGTGGTAATTGTGATAGCAGGGGGAAGATGACTCTTCAGGCACAAATTGGTGTTGAGTGTGTTTGTACATGTAGATGCTCAGTGTTGCACAAAGCAGAGCAGTTCTAGGGAAAAAAGCAGTTGTGTTCTTGCAAAGCCAGGATTTGAAGCAGTGCTATGGTAAGTGCTGAATGAGGCAGATCAAAATACACAGAAGGGAAAAACCAGGGTATCTAGCTTTGTTGCCTACCATCTGGAAGGACTGCAGAGCCTGTGCTGTGTCCCAGGGTCTGTCAGTGGCATTTTGTATGACCTTAATAAAAAAACTGCATCTCAAAGTTCCCAAGGTCTTACATTTGTAAAATGAGAACAATAAGCAAGGTGCCTTGACTTCTGTGAATAAAAAGGTGCTGCATAAAAATTGTTTTATTACTTCTAATGATAGTAATAATGGATTTATTCTCACCATAATTTTAATTCAGACAGAATTATGTCTATTTTTTCTGTTAACAGTGCTAAGATACAGAAAGTTGTAAAGATGCAAAATTGCAATTTCTCTGAAGGTATTTCATAGGCACAACCTGTAAACATCCCGGAGCTCTTTGCTTTTTCCTGGTGTGTAACATAGCCCATAGCTGTAAAGTATTTTCAGATCAATGATTTTCAGCAGAAGTGTTTACCACTTTCCCAGGAAATGATCAACAAATAAAACACACTGAGAAAGGAAGCTAGCATTTACTTTCTGCTTTTAAAGGTGGCTTGTATTTAACTTGATTGTAAACAAGATGGAAGGGGCTAGATGTCCCGTAGCATTAGCATCCAAAGAACAGTGTGTCTTACACTGCACTAGCAGTGGTGGAATATAATAGATAAGAAGAGTTATATGTCCTATTTGTACCTTTGCATCCCAATTATTGTTGCTGCAGCTGACTCTGAGGCAGAATGGTATGCATGGCCATCTCTTGGCATCAGGCTTTGTCTCTCAACAAGTGGTGTCTTTCCTGCCACTGTCTCCTTTCCAATTTCACTGGCTGAAATAAAATAAAGTGCATTCACTTTGAAAACCTGAGGTGTGTTCTTTTTAGTTTCTAGATTTGGAAAAAAAAGCCTTAGCTGGCTTGTTTAATGAACAATCCTTGGTAACAATCCCTAATTTCAAAACCTGCCTTCTTTCAGCATTGTCAATGACCTCAAAGGGGCCAGACTTGGGCAGGTAGCTGTGATGCTCAGTGGAACTGGAAATGTGCATGTAAATTATATTTCTGGTTAGGGCTTTTCTTTTTTATTCTTTGGTACAAATGTGATGAATACTCACCATCACTCAGCTGGTTGGAAGCAAGCAAAGCAACAATGTTACACCACAGACAGTGGTTTTTTTCATTGTGAAGGAAGGCTTGGAGTTTCCTAAACACATGGAGGAGGAATACTTTCTTCCTGAAACTTCAGAGTGTAAATGAAGACTTACTATGTAAACCTTGACTCTTGCTAACTTCACTTAAACATTTAAGAGGTGCTACAGGAAAAAGTGTGGCCAGAGAACCATAATGCTTTTCAGAAAGTAGCTTTTCTGAGATGTGACACTGTTCATTTTATGTCAGGGAGCCCTGCTAAAGCAGAGAAGAGAAAATCCCTCCATCACAAATGCATAATAAGGGCTGAGGATGGGTTATAAAGGTGTGTCTTCCACATCACTAAATTATTTTCCTCTTTCCTACCCATTGCGTCTATATCAGAAACATTGCTGGAAATACATCTGGGAAATTAGCAGAATGTTTGTTTTACTTCTTTTTGAAGTGTTTTCTTGGTTTTAGGTGAGTGTTTGACTTATGTTCATTGGCCCTTGCACAAGAGACTGAAAGCTATTTCCTTTTTCCTTAATTAGAGCATGTGGAATATCAGATTTCTGAGCAGTGAATTTCCTTTCAGGAGATAGGTGAGCATATGTGGTAGAAGAGGTTGTTTTTGTAAACTTGAAAAGTTGGTCCTTCTGTATTTTATAGATACTTTCTTCAGCCAAACTTGTACTTTTCATACAGAGAATAGTGCAATTTTTTTTCTTTTTTTCTTCCTCACCTCCCCTTTTTTATTTTTGGAATTAAATAGAGAAGTGGGAAGTTAGAAATATTTGAGGGAATTTCTAGGAGGGTGGCCATAGGAATGTGGTAGCAAATGTGGTGGAGGCAACAGCCCAACCCTGTTTGTGTGCGTAACTTGATTTCGAGTCTGCAGAGCTGGTGCTGGTGAGAAAGGGGAAAAAAAAATTTAAAACTGAGAGATTGTGTGCTGTTTTTTAAGGTCATGTATTTTTATATCTGCTGGCTTGTCTGTGTGGGTGGGCAGGTATGAGTCTTGGTCTTTCTTATGCAATGTCAGAGGGAAGCTCAGGTCGGTGCGGTGGCGGGGCCAGCCCACATCCTCCACCCACAGGGGCCCAGGAGCACACATCAATCAGGGACAGCCCTCAGCTCCTGGCACCGTTGGAGCAGGTGGCAGAGCTCACAGTGACACCAGATGACTGTCACGTTGCCGTGGGGCAGCCACCAGTGCCTGGCCCATGCTCTGTGTACATCAGGTCTACCACCTGGAATAAATTCTAGTCTGTGGTGCAGCTCCAGCACTCACACCGTCACCTATAACAATCCTTGTCTCTCACAAGTGCTTTGGGGTAGAACAAATGGAAAGAAGAACAAGGAGAATGATTTTATAAAATGTTGCAGATCTCCATATAGCACCCCCTGCAAAAATGCCATGCTTTTTAATGTGTCAACCAGTTATAAACAGAGGGAGAGAGGGAAAACCGAGGCTGTGTCCAACCAAAAGCAGAGTTGGCTAGATCAGTCATGACCAAAACTTTGGTGAGTTTTTGAAGCACAGATGGATGCTCTGCTGTGGGGAAAAGTTCTTGCAAAGCTACTGCTTTCATGTCCATTTAGTGCTGTTTTTTTTTTAAGCACCAATATTGCCCCTTGTTTTTGTTCCTTAAAAGGTGAACTCAGAATAAATGCAGACTCATCCTACCCAGCCCTCTTTATTTTGGTGTCTCAAAGTTTTGTAGTAGTCTATCAACACCTACCTGTAAATAAATTGTGTGTAGTGAAAATACTCTGTACTTTACTCTGTGTCTAGGTAAGTGTGGAAGGGTATCACTGGCTTAATTTGCCCCTGGGAATTTGCTAGAGTGTGTCTGGGTTGCATGAGCAAAAATGAGAGGAGAATTCAGTGTCAGCTTCTGGTGATTTATATAGGATATAGGTGATTTATGTAGGATATCTATTAGCCCTGATTTTGCTAAGCAGATGTAGTACATTGGATCAAATTATTTTGATATATGGAGGTGGGTGGAGAAGGAGATCCAAGGACTGTGGAGATGGTTGGTGCCTCCAGTCCTGGGCATGCTCTTATGACTGTTGGCAGAATGATGTCTTTATTATTTGTGGGTGGGATCTCAGAAGTTTAATGTCTCCAGAAATTAAGTTTAAGGTGTGTTTCAACCTGCTTGTAGCAGTTTATTCTCTCAGAGCCTGGAGGACAGGATGTGTGTGTACCATCCTTCCAGCTGCAGTCTAAACCTTGCTTATGAACAAGTGTATGAAGAAACTCAGTTTAAATTAAAGGGCTTATTCAGTTATTTTATCTTTACACATAAGTAAGAGATAGCAGGATTTTAAGAAGGAATGATGTTAATCACTATAGCAATCCCTTCTAACGGAAAGGCACTTTTTCATCCATTAAAATACAGTAGACTTCCTGATTAAGTGTATTCACAGATATACAAAATTACAGGGTAAGGGCCTGCTTGGGAACAAATTCCCCCTGTATTACCATGCCAACATGTGTTCATGCTGCTCCTTTTCACCAACAAATAATAACAGGGATAGATGCCTAGACCCATGAAAGGAGACAGCTTCAGGTCTGCTGTGCTGGGTTGTTAGAAGCAGTACAGCAGTTCTGACTTCTACAAAGTATTTCCAGCTTTGAAACACTGTTTTATTTAGTGATGAAATGTAATGACTTTGCAAGTGTTTAATTAAGAATTGCCACGAGTGCAGCTTACATAGATACTGGGACCATCTTCAGCTCTGTTACATAAGGTTGGACGGGTGTGACATCTGTGAAGGAGGGTCAGAGTCTTTCTGGCTTAGGATGTGAATTTACCACCAATGAACTGTTGAGAAGAATCTCCTTGTAGGGAGAAGTCTCCTCTTCCCCCACTCCTTTATTTTTCTTTCCTGCCAATAACCTCTCTCGAAAACAAACTCCTAGACCAGCTGCTTCAGTGTCGTGGTTTTTTTCACTTTTCCTATAAAAGCTGTTCTCTGCTTGTTTCACCCTCAGGAGCCACATGGGTAGGGGTTCTGCTTTAAGGTACAGGAATTGTTTTCCTTGCATAACATTGCATGGATGCTGACTAAAGACATGCACAGGAGAACAGCCATATGAAGATTACAAAATAGATACGCTTGGTTTACCAGCTCTGCTTTGCTATTTTACCATATAAATGAGCTCACTCTCCTAATCAAGTTTTCACAGGGTAAGGGTAGAACAGGCTGGTACAGATGGTGGAAGAAATCAAGGGAGACAGGGAGAGAGGGAGAAGAAAGGAAAAAAAGAAGGAAAATATTTTTCAGGCTTGATAGTGTTAATGAAAACATAAAGAAAGAAAGGAAGAAAGCAATGTTTGGAGAGCAAAGAGTGACCTGACAAATGTGACCTCTGTTTTTCCCAAGGGCTTCTGACTTTGAAACCAAAGCTGCCTTTAATGTTCACCAGGTGCCATCAGGGTGTTTTGATCGCCTTTATGGAAGGGAATTAACCTCATAGCTTCAGCATCTGCATTTCAGTGAACTTCAGGGACAGGGTGTATTCTTGTTCAGATCATAACCCTTAAGGTTCAAAGGCCATAAGCAGCTAAATAATTAATTCTGTTACTTCCACAGGAGGCAATGAACACAGACCTATACTTCACACTGGTTTATCACAGGAATTTTTCCAGTCCCTGTTCAAACAGCTTCTGCCTGAGCATCTCTGAACAGCTATTTGGAGCAACTGGAAAGCAGACACATCACAGAAACAAAGCTGGCAGTAAGATTATTCCTCATGCTAAAATAATACTCAGAAGTTTGTATTCTGTCAGCTGAGATTATAGTTCAGTTTCTTGGAGGAAGTGAGATGCTATTTTGCTGAAGATATATGGCTCTGTGTCCCCTGTTGTTATATAAGCAAATTGTGGTGCTTATCATCCTCTTTCTGTCTGCTTCCTCTCTGTAGGTGATTGTGCCTCTGATATTACCTAGATATCTCAGCCTTGCCTGTGACCCGAGAGTAGACTGTAGATTTTAGCTCTTCAGGTAATTGTCTTGTCCTGCAGGTGACAGATTTATAAGAATATTGCACACTGTCAATAAGAAGAAACTACTGACTGATCAGTGGGGTTTTTACTCCTCCTCCTCCTTTCCTCTGAGAGAACCAAGAGCCAACCATTTCTGGACAGCTCCCCCTCCCCTTGTGAAGCGCAGGGAATTCAAGCAGCTCATCAAATCCCGTGGAGCAGAGGCTTTGTTGCAGCAGGGAGGAAGGTATTATAGGCAACATATCCTCAACAGAAGGGTTTTTCTGCGAAGAGGACCTAGGGCTACCCAAAGGTCAACTCAGGATCACTGAATTGTGGGTCACTGGAGTAGTGGGGTGAGTAAGATGTCCTGTCCAGCGATGACTCTTCAGTATCTTTGGTCTTCTCAGCCTTAGTACTGCAGCAAATACATGCTTTGAGAGGAGAATATGATGGTATCTCCAACACATCTAGTTGAAGTGCAGGACCTCGTGGGTCCAGATGTGCAACAGGATGACCACTGCTTCAGCTCATCAGTCACCTTCTGCACCCAATATCTGTCAATTCTACTGTCACCTCACACACTCAGTCTGTTTTGCAGTCCATTAATTTCAAAGTATAGGACCAGAGTAACTTCAACAAGGGACAGGGAAGGGCTTTAAAAGGACCTGAAAAGTTTGGAAATTTACAAATAAATGACTGCAAATGATCATCATATTTCAAAAGTTATGGTTGTCACTGTCTGGAAAAGGGGAAACATAAAAGGGCAAAAAGGAAGACCTGAGGAACTGCAGGACAGTCAGTCTCACCCTAGTGCCTGGCAAGATCATGGGAAAGATCCTCCTGGTAACTGTGCTAAGTCATGAGGAAAATAAAGAGGTGATTGGTGGCAGCCAGCATGGCTTGACTAAGGGAAAATCATGCCAGACAAATTTGGTGGTCTTTTGTGACATGGTTACCGTATTGGTGGGTAAGGGGAGAGCAACTGATGTAATCTACCTGGACTTGTGCAAAGCATTTCACAATACCACATAACATCCTCTAAATTGGAGAGGCACAGATTTGATGGATGGATTGATCACGGGGTGAATGAGGAAGTGGCTGGACAGCTTCACTCAAAGTGCTGTAATCAATGTCTTGATGCCCAAGTGGAGGATAATGATGGGTGGTCCTCCTCAGGAGTCAGTACTAGAGCCAGCACTGCTTAACATCTTTGTCAGTGACATGGACAGTGGGACTGGTGCACCAACAGCAAGTTTGCCAACAAGCAGAATGTCCAGTGCAGTCAACATGCTGGAGGGAAGGGATGCCATCCAGAGGGGCCTTGACCGGCTTAAGAGGTGGGCCTTTGCTAACCTCAAAGCTCAAAAAGGCCGAGTGTAAGATCCTCCACCCAGATTGGGGCAATTCAAGACACAAATACAGTGGTTGAGGAATGGATTGAGAGCAGTCCTGAGGAAAAGGACTTGAGAGTGTTGATAGATACGAAGCTCAGCATGAGCTGGCAGCCTGTGCAGCCCACAAAGCCAACCATATTCTGGTTGCATCTACAGAAGTGTGGACAGCGCATTCAAGGGTTCTGCCCCTCTACTCTGGTCTCATGAGATCCCACCTGGAGTACTGCATCTAGCTCTGGGGTCCCCAGCACAAGAATGATACAGACCTGTTCGAGCAAGAGGAGGAGCACAAATATGATCAGAGGACTGGAGCGCCTATGAAGACAGGCTGAAAGGTTGTTCAGCCTGGAGAAGGCTCTGGGGAGACCTTAGAGCAGCCTTCCAGTACCTAAGGGGAGTCTACAACAGGGCTCAAGAGGGACTTGGTACAAGGGCCTGTAGTGGTTGGACATGAGTGAATAGCTTTGAACTGAAGGAGGGTGGCTTTGGATTAGATATTAAGGAAGACATTTTTTTATGAGAATGATGAATCAGTGGAAAAAGTTGGCAAGAGAGCTGGTAGATGCTTCTTCTCTGTCAACAGTCATGTTGAATGAGTGTTTGACAAACCTGGTCTAGTAGAAGGTGTCCTTTCCCATGTCAGGGGTGTTGGAAGGGTGTTTATAACCACAGACACAACTGTTTTATGATTCTGTGATTTGGAATGCTGGGTGCACCAAAGATCGAAGGGTGCTGCCATTCACTGAATTGTACATGATAATGTTGTTAGTAGTCACATTTCGTATTGTGGCACAAATTGCATCTTGGCCTTACCTTTGTGTAAAAGCACTGAATTTATACTGCAGTAGTGCTTCTTATTTAAAGTAAAAAATGACTGCATAAAGCTGTATTTGAATCCAGAGGGAGCATTTTATTAATTAGTAAATAATGATATGATGAAATTGAATCATACTGCCTTTTCTTTTCCAATTTTTCTTCAAGGAGTGCCTGCTATAAAAGTGTATGCACAAATAAATTGTTTCCTTATGTCTCTAAAACATGTTGTAAATGTTTAATTTAGTTTTAATGGCAATGACAGTTTAGAAAGGAAACACTATTCAAAGACAAGAAGTATAGCAGTAAGATTTTAATTTTATGAGTTTTAAATAAAATATTAGAAACATATTCTGGAATCACAATATTAACATCCAGATATAGATATATATTTTTGTCTTGTTAACATCAAACGATGTTTGGAAATTTTCTTGAAAATGTGCAAAATCCAGGTGCCTGTTCTTTTGACTTCATGTTAGGATAAAAAGCATGCAGTTGGTGAGTGGGATTTAGCAGTGCTACCAACATAGCTGTGTGCATTGGGGCTGATTATAATCACTAGGGAGATTGAAGTGTATTGAAAACCAGAAAATCTCAAAAAGCTTTTTAAATGAATTGTTGAAGTCCTCTAAGAGGATTTCAGAATGAAGGTATGTGAATGCATTCACATGTGTGGGGAAACCTGAGTGCATATCTGCATTCCTGGGCCCTGGAATAATTTCATGTAATACTAGCATAAACTAAGCCTGTGTTACTGTAAAGTGCATGCCAACTTGGATAGTGCTTTCCAAATCCATTCAGAGCCGTTATTAGCATGAGGACACTTCTGATGGGAGAACATGGACCTTCTTTAATTGCACTGAGTGATTTTTAAGGATGCTTCAGCACTGGGGACTCAATAATTGAGCCTGGAAGAGAGTGTTTCGAAGTAGATTTGAAAGAATAAGAGCAACTGGTCCATCTTGGAAATGATACTGACTTTTCTTTGTGTTTAAATTGTTTCTCACATGGTTAAAATAATATTTTAGTGTTTATGGAGTCATGTCTAGTTTGTGTTCATGAGGAAGTTGCCTCAATATTTGCAGCTGAAAGGTTGTCCTGCTGCATTCCCAAATTTAACCTTCAGCTTCACTTCCCCGTAGCATAGCTCTGGTTGAATTGTGAAATGAACAACTGATATAATCTCTACTACCTTTATTTCTTTCTGCACAAAGAATTTTGTTTCAGTGGTAGAAGAAAAGCAATACTTTGAAGTGTGTCCACCAAGGTACAGCTAGAAAAAAAAAATATAAGTCAGAAATCTCATTATTTGCATTAAGAAAATATCAAATAACTCAAATACATGCATGGCAAAAATTTTTCTGAAATTTTGACCTGCTTCTGAATGATCACCAGTTACTGGTAATGAATCTCTATGTTTGTATGAGTGAACAGAGAAAAGCTTACACCCAGATGTCCTGAAGTTAATGTTCTGGATGTATTTTGACTGGTTCTTCTTTTACGTTTTATGCCTCTTGCAAATTAGCCCACAAGCTTATGAAGATATAGGTAAGCCAAAGAGTTCATGAGTTTGAGGTGCTATACCTATAGATATGTACACAATTTTTCATGTTGTAAAGTAGATATGAAATGAAATCATAGAATGGTTAGGGTTGGAAAGGACCTTAAAGATCACCTAGTCCCAATCCACCTGCCATGGACAGGGACACCTTTCACTAAACCAGGTTGCTCAGGGCCCCATCCAACCTGTCTTTGAACACTTCCATGGGCATCAACAGTCTCTCTGGGCAACTTGTACCAGTGCCTCACCACCCTCACAGCAAATAATTTCTTCCTAATACCTAATTAAACCTGCCCTCTTTCAGTTTGAAATCATTGTCCCTTGTCCTGTCACTATCTGCCTATATAACAAGTCTCTCTTCCCGTCTCTTTATAAGGTTAAGGTTTTCATGAGGTTTTTGTACCCGTTAAGGTGTTGGAAGGCTGTAACAAGCTCTCTTCTCTGGATTGAACAACTCTCAGCCTTTCCTTGTAGGAGAGGTGTTCCAGATCTCTGATCATCTGGCAATTTCACCATATGAGCTGCCAATAAATTTTAGAGTAGATCACGTTTGCACCATCAATTATGTTGTGTCTTTGAGATATTGTGGATTTGGCATATGGGAGAGTGTGTTGATAATTATTATTTATGTTTGCTCTATGTACCTAGTTTGTTCAAACAGTCAATTTACTGCTTGTGACAGCCTGCTCCCTGACCAGTAATTCCATCCATTTTCACACTTAAGACTGAATTGCATTCAGTCTTAAGTGTTCAAAAGAAGATAATGGGATAGATGTAATTAAACTTCTGGAGGAGTTGCTCATTTTAGTATCTGCTTCCTTTGAAAATTCCTTTAAGATTAGTAGGATGTTAAGATCCATAGAAGTGAAATGCATTTGATGACAAGAGAACAGAGGCATGGTACTGCAGTGCTTACAGCAAAGACAGCTGATGTGGGAGATGACAGAGTTCTTGGGGAGATATCTATGCCATAATTGCTGCATTCCAGGTGCAGCAGCACAAGAAAATACATCTCTGGATCATCCCTTAAAAAAAAAAAAAGTGGTGTTGAATCATGGTGTGATTTTTTAAACTTGACTATTGACCTTGGAGTTCTTAAGTGAGGGAAAATAAAAATGGTTGGGTTGTG